AAGTTGAAGAACAATTTGCAAGTTGTGGAGACACATGAGACCCACTTCAATAAATATTTTGTTATGCCTAAAAATTCAGGGCTGACATAAGCTGATGTTAGTGAGCACCAATCAAAGTTCAAGAAGACTTTGCAATTTGCCACATCGTCCAAGACAAAAAGAATAAAGTTGTTATCAATCCAACCGACTCAAGTTTTGTCTATGAATGAATTTGGTTCGCACACTTGTTCAAGCCCCATTTATTTTAAGGATATCTTCTAAGTTTTCAGCCAATGAGACATCAGGAGAGGTTTACATAGTACCTACCCACTTACAAAAATGTAATCATTACCTTGAGCTTAGCGGGTATAAATAGGCAGCTCTCCCTCACAAAATCGAGATCAGACAATCTGAATTTAACAAAGCAAATAGCAAAGACACACAATAGGAAATAGACTAGATTAATATTCTCTAAGAACACTAAGCACCTGTAACCTAGTTTGCAATTCGCGACCTCTTGTAATCTTGGCTAATAACCACAAACTCACTACTATATAAGAAAACAGTGGATATATGATTCGCTTTAGGCATCTAAACCACTATAAAACTTTTATTTTCTCATTTATCTTACGTCTTTGCATGCTACTGTGAGAACAGTACTTCATTTAACTCTCATAATCATTCACGTGTGATTTTTAAGATTTTCTTTACACTTTGCACATGTGAGTTTGTTGGTATCAAAATCCAACATCAACATATTTATTTGTCATATTAAAGAACAGGCACGGCTAAGACAATGACTCAACTAAAGCAAGTAAAACATCCTACGATTAAATTCGTCATCACCGTGGAATCAGCATTGCCTTTTTATTAGGGCAAGACTTGGAAAATATATACTTACAGAAGGGGAAAAAAAAAACCAGAAAGAAAGTTTAATCAAGGAAAGACTTGTGTAGAATTTCTTAGCTGCTTGGTTTATAACATCAAAGGACTAATCTATTTACTTAGACGTTTGATAAATTATTGTGTTAAATTCTTTTCTTTCATTAATTTGTACTAATTTATGATTTTTGTAATAGCACATAATTAATTTTCAAGGACCACCATCTATGATTTTTAGACATATATTTAATATGAGAAAGTCTTTAATAAAACGGATGCATATCCCATCAAATTATATTTTATGTTTTAAAATATTTATTAAATTATATTTTTAAACAAAAAAATTAACATAAGAGAATTTTTTTAGTGCATAAATCTCAAAAAAAAAATTATTATTTAATCAAACTTTATGAGATTAATGTTATTAACTGTGAGAGAAATATAACTATTGAATTAGCTTAGATGGGAGTGCTGAATAAATCTTCAATTTGAAATTGATGTGCAAAGAGAATAAAGAAAATGCATCCCGAGAATATCGATCTTATTCTTGATGCATTAACTAGCACTGGATATATTCTTAAAAAAAGAAACCGTATAATCAAAAAAATGGAATGAATATGTATAATTGTGTCAAAACTAAGTGGATATGAATGAAAGCCTACATATTTAATTTTGTCTGACCTTTTGTTAATACTCACTTTGATAGTAACAATCATCGTTTTAATTCTATGCCTAAAATTGACTACTAATTTTTTCATCATGTCTGTTTGGCATAAAAAAAAGGGAGCTAGATGAAAACAAAAGGATTGAATCGACGTGTGTGGATATTAGAAAAAATTAATTACATAATAAATTAAGAAGTAAAGGAAAATAATCATTTATTAGCATAAGAATTTCTTTTAAATGTTATTTTAAATCAATAACTATCTATATATATAAAAAGTAAATTTTTATGCAACTAATTAATTAATTTAAATTATTAAAGTAAAACGAAATAAAACAATAAATCCCTTAACCCACCCTTTTACTTGGTATTAATTAATATTCAACTGGTCATATTGAAAAGCTTTCAATTTAATATTGGTGGAAACCCACCATGTAATGGATTCATAAACCAGATAGGAGCCTGTTTTTTCTTTACAAATGTGTACAATGGATTGATTCCCATTGGTTTGTGACAATTATTCCATGATGATCAACAAACAATTAGAGCGATTCAACTATTGGTGGATGTTTGTCTATTTCAACTTGTGCTCCAAGTCTTCGAGTGAGTATGAAATCATATCATACTTATATTTCGGAAAAAGAATTCCTCAGGAATGCAAAAGTTCATGGAGACACAACGAACCAAAGCTACCTTTCATAAGACATTAACTTCCTCCAAGGTTTAAAAAAGTACAACCTTTGGCTTTTTCGGAATCAGTATAAAAAAATTAATGAAAAAAATGAACTAGTTTATACCCCTTTACAATCAATTCCAAGGACTTTTAAAACATTGTCTTAGTTAATAGTGGAAGCTAATTATCTTGTTTTAATGAACTTTCTAAATGAAAATTTAACTACTGGAAAGAAATATTTTCCAGCTATTCTTAATTTCCAGAATTAAAAATTGATGTTTAGGCCATACAAAAAGAGAGGGACAGGTAAATTAAAGCTAGTTAGTAGTGAAAAATAATAAATTGTAGAGTTATGAGCTCTTACCTTACCCTAATTAATAATATTTTCAAATAAATTAATTATTATTAATTGATTTGTGCGAACTAAGTAAAATTATATCCCATTGTTTAATCAATCGGAGTCATTCTGTGATTGTTGGTTATAACAAGTCAGATGTGCTGCTGGAATTAACCTCAGCTCATGAAGAAGAGTTTAGCAAAGTGCAGCAGAATTAATAGCAAAAAGCTACAATTAGATAATAAAAAGGATTAGTTAGAGTCAAAAATCTGTTAAATTAAATTTAATATGAAATCCATAATAATTATCTTAGCTTATGATCATAAGTTTTTGTCAACATAACCTCTTTGAACAAGTCGATACAGCAGAATTGATTAAAAGAAAAAGAAAAAAAAAAGCTTCTTCCTGTATAGCCAATTTGAACATCAATGGAAATAAAATTCGAAGTCTAAAGACAATGAATGGAAGGAAATAACAGGTGAAGAAAGCACTTAATTTTAGCCTAGGGGACATATAACATCCTTAAGACAAATAATTATTAAAGAGAAAGGTACATGAAAAGAGACTATTCAAAATTGGTAGCATGTGAAGAGAATTTTCAAAATTGGATGCATGCGAAGACTTAGACTATATATTAAAAATTATTTTCAAAATTGGATGCATGCGAAGACTTAGACTATATATTAAAAATTATTTTCAAAATTGGATGCATACGAAGACTTAGACTCTAATAGAAATCTTGAAGAAAAACATGTAATTTCTCGGAAGACAAACTAATTAACATTTTGAAGAAAAGGCGAGTAATTTCCTTATTGGAAGACTTATGAAGCATGCCAAAATCATTGCTTTCTCCAAATTAATTATTTCCGACCAACGACAATTGACTTTGGCCCAAGATTATTATCCATGCAATTTGTGGTGGAAATTTAATGAGGCTAGAGAAAAAAGTAGAGGGATAATTCAAAGTAATAGAACGTTCAACGATAATTAATTGAATTAACGAGATTTTTCTTTTGATTAATATATATTCATGAAATAACTATTAATCTCAACTGGTTGTACAATATAAAGTATATTTACACGACATAATTTTAATATTCATACCTCTAACAATATAGAAGAACTTAACATATAAAAATAGTTGTTAATGGTTAAGGTTAATTTGATATAATAGGATCTGGATGCCCTAAATATGCTACTTTTTCTTACAACAAATTTTATTAATTTTGTATAATTCAAAATTTTATGACCAGGGTGGATTTTATCTATTCAAATAATTTTAACTCAAAATTGATTCGGTCAATTACATCGAATATGCTTGTGTTGGAAAATATCCCTTTAAAATCTTTAAGTTATTGTCTAATTGTGAAAATAATTATGCCGTTGATTTTCCACTTTGTTTTGATTTTAACAAAACGTAAGTTTGATTATGAAATCATATCAGAATTTCATTCTTATATATTAAAGAATTTCCCAATAACACAAATCTTCAAGAAAAAAGTAAGGAAACAGAACTACCTTTCTTAAGAGAATGAATCCTTCCAAGGTTTAAAAGAGTACAACCTTTGGCATTTTCAACTTCCTTGACTCTACATGAAAAAACTAATGAAAACAAGAAACGGGCCCCGTCATTTATCAAAGGAACCATGAAAAAATTACTCAGCTCCCCTTGGCTCCGTCCTTGTATGAATAGTTTCTAGTTTGAGAAATTCTACAAATCTCAAAGTCTAAAATACAAAATATATAGGTGTCAGATCATTTATATCACCCTCCAATGAATTTATGTTACTTTCGATTTTTCTTCTCTCTCATTTATTTTTAAATTAATTGTGATTAATAATTTTTATATGTAATAACTATTTGAAATGTATAAATTATCTTGTGAAATCACATCGTGATACTATTCTTTTATTTATATGTTAATCATTATTAATCGGGTTTAACCTGACTCTTTAGATTGGGCTTTTCCGAAAGTCGTCATCTTCAAATGTGTTCTTAGCTAATAATGGAAGCTTAATTATGTCGTTTAAATCATTCTAAACTGTAAGGAATACTTTGTGAGTGAGAACAACCGAAAGTAGATCAAGTGGAATGACTACAGCAGCTTTCGATAATTTCACAAATATTAGTTAACGTTGCCATAACAACAGAGGACATCCGATAAGATTTCACTCTTTTTATCACAAACCATAACCATTTTCTTCAATTATATCATCAATTCAATTTCGAGGAAAATGAAAATCATTTTATAGACCAAGAATTTGACCATCCACAAGGGTAATTTAGAAATATATTATTATAGATAACCCGAGTTTGTATCCCAAGTAATGTGACATCAAAATCTTAAATTGTCAAAATCGTTGATCGATGCCACGTCACCACACTGACTCGTAAATAAATTAAATAACTAATTTTCTAAGGAATAAGAAATAAATCCATGCACCATAACAAATAGAAAAACTGGAATAGAATTTTTACTGTACAAAAACATCAAAATGCCTTGAAACAAGGAAATATTGTCAATTTACGGGCTTCCACATTTTGATACAATGAAATATATGAAAAATGTCTTGAAACATCTGAACTGGTTTATATAGAATAACTGAATGTTCAGAACTCGCCAAATAAAAGGTCCACTTACCTGACGGAGAAGCAAGGTATGTAAGCAGAAGCTGCTATTCTACATCTGAGCCTTAAATTACCCGCATCACAAACTCCCACAGCACCGTCACAAAAACCGGAATACACCAGGAAACCATCACATGAATAAACTGCACTAGAAATGGGAGCAGGGAGTGTATCATTTGGAGACCACTACAAGTTATAAAATCATAGCATAAGGACCATTAGAAGAGAGATTGAAAAATAACATATTAAAATATACTTTATGATAATAAGCCACGCACCGGGCCAAGGCTTCTAACATACTATCCATAAAAAAGCATTCAAATAGTAAATTTTACTCTTGCGAGTCAAGGTGGAACCGTGGAATGAGTACATTGGTGATAATAAGCTACATAACTAGATCTTTTATGCAAACATCAATATGTGATTTGGAGTCTCATTGACCTTAATTATTGTGATGCCATGTTTCCACACGATAGAAATGAGATCATGGTCGGTAAGTTTACTTAGACAGAGAGAGAGAGAGAGAGAGAGAGAACAGAAGAAAAACTACAACATAATGACATGGAAGCAAAACTTACTGAACTTGAACATTCAAGCTTGCTGTCATAAATGGAAATTTGTCTATCATGAGCCACCAACAGATGTGTTTGATCATTATGAAACTGGACTTTAGTTTCTCCAACCGAAGGGGATTGACAACCAGCTGGTTCTTGTATGCACCTTGATTTCAGCTTCTCCCATTTATCAATACTCCACATACATAGCTGCATCAAATTAATTGAATAAAAATAAATTATTAAGTAACGGAAATAAAAAACCCAGAGATAATAAAAAAGAGAAAGCTTCAACTTAATTGAAATTCAATCGCATTTAGAAGTGACTTGGGGAAGCCATGTTTGAAACTTGTAGTAAATTAGAGTCTTTCCTCATTTGTATGATTGACTATTCTTTTCAGTGCAACAAAATAGAAAAAACATGTATATTTTTTCCCAGGCCTAAATGCAGGGGAAATTACAATTGTGTTTCACATCATTTCTGCATAATGTTTGATTTGGCTATTTATGCATTGATTGGTATTAAGCTTTTGGGATGAACTTGACATTGTTTCTTCTTCTGTGTCTTTTTGTAAAAAGTCATTTAGTTTAAATTTATTTCATCAGTCCTCACCTACTGTGTTAATCCATGAAACAAGCACTACCATGCAGAGAGGGTGCATTATGCCCTAACTTCACGACTGAGGTGGCATTACCATGTGAATTGGCAGTCCACATACCATCATCCTCAGATGCATGTTACCTCAGATGCATGTAGGTTTAAACTAGCATTCCAACATTTGAATTTAACATTCGGGAGTTCCTGTGATTATGCATCCAATTCTTTAGAATATACGGTTGGTATATTAATGAAAGATATAGTTGCATATGATTTGCATAGGTTTATAATAGTAAAATATCTCATATATAAGCACAGACACACAAAGGGTAGTAACTAACTGCAAAGAAAATAAGAAGCACCATAGAAGCAGAGGGGTTTCTTCCTAACTGAAATAAAACATGCAAATACTTGAAGTCTTTGCCACCTACCTTGCCAGGTGCTATAGAATCAGGTAAGTGCAGGGCTTTTATTTGTGATGGATCTGAAACATCAGGAATTTTCTCTTAACCATGTCTCCATCGTCTGCAATATGTGGTTTAACATCAACAAGTCTACTGCTGTCCATAGTACCGTGCAGTGGCACTTGGTATAAATATGTGGACTAAGATAAGCACCAACAACTTCATGGTATAAGAAATGCTAAACTTACAAGACTGCTGATAGATACAGCCTGAGGAACTCTATCTGGCTGTTCCAGAGTCGGAGCAATGGCACCAGAAACATTTCCCACTGGACCGAGAGCATTCACAATCAATGGCTGCCAAAAAGACAGCAGCACATAAGACACTGACAAAACAAAAAGTCAATTAATAGGCTTATAGGAAAATGTATCCTAAAGGTCTTCATTCTTTAAGCTTATAGAAGGTTAAATTGACAAGATTCTAGAGACTACTATGGGTTGCAGTCATAAGAATTTCAAGACTCAGGACTGTCATTTTATCTCAGTCATGAACCAACCAAACCTAAACATTATCTAGTTTAGGGCTGATAATGCCAGCCCCTAAAGGGCTGTTGCTTACAATTTTATCTTCCAACGTGTTGTTCTTTCTACATAAATTATTTTTTTAAACAAGTTCAAATAATTACATGAGAAGAGGATTACGATTTCTACGTAACTTCTCAATGGATCACAAATATTGTTTGAATATAAAAGAAAGGTAATACATCAACAAACATGCACAAAACTACCTTAGAGTTGATGGGTTCAGAAGGGGCCCGATTTTTGTTAGTAGCCCTGCTATCTAACATTCTTATCAATCATAAACCATTACTGGTGGCTAAATTTTTGATAACATTGTCACTCGTTGTAACTGTGAGCAGAGATCCTCCCTTATTGAATGTTAGTCTAGGTCTAGCCTACAAAGAATAGAATTGAATGAACAACTACTACGTATCTACTGTTAAATACCATTGATGTACAAGTAAATAGTACGACTACAAACAGGCAATCCACCATCTGCATCAACAGCAGTCAACATATTTGTATTGTCCATATCCCAGAATTTAATTTGAAATTCATCACCAGCAGCCAAGAACTGATTCCATGTCGTATCAAAACGGACAACCCAACCAGAATATGTCCTTTTGATAGCTCCTTCACTCTCATTCCACTCAACTAAATGAGATTCGCCGTCTTTACTTGTTCCGCATGAGAAGCTGCTGCAACAAAAAATATAGAAGTCTTATTCCATTTAGATGATGTAAGAACGGTTAAAAAATAATGGCACATCAAAGGCAGAAAAGTGCCTAAAAAGTCCAGCAACAAAGGATCCTTGGCAGCTAAATGATATCATCCTTTGTAAAACAAGATATTATAAGAAACTTCATCGAGTCATTATATAAAGTATCATGTGCACAAACAATATGAAAAATCACCAAATTATATTAGCCTGTGTCTATCTTAAAATTAACCAAGCTTTACCTGGTTCCATCTGCAGTATATGCCATCATGGTGCACCAGTGTACAGGAGCGTCATAGTTCCAGTCTAGATCCCAAGCAATCATATAGCCAAGCTTTTATCTTTTTATCAATGGCAGTAGAGAAAATAAACTGCACATTTCAAGAGAGGAAGATGGATAATATGAGATTCAAAGTGATGTTAGCCATCTTATTCCTATCAGTTAGTTAGCGTATAGAAAAAGATGCAGACTCATATTGCCGATCACAACATAGATGATTTAAATAAATATTGACCTGAATGTTTTCTGTGGTGAAGGCAGAATACACAGGAGATTCATGGCCTTCAAACGTATACTGCCTGCATCCAGCTACAGCATCCCAGACCTGTCATGGAAGAAACTTACTCTAAGTATCCCCATAAGTCAAACTCATTAATAGGGAGAAGTTACAGCAAGGATGTATCAATTATGTTTTCCCTAGATAAGCAGATCACACCCTTTTAAGATGATACCTTAATAGTCTTATCATCTCCACATGTAACCATACACAGTTGCTTGTTGGGATGAGTAAACACATTGTCATTAACTCCACCAACATAGGCGTCGATCTAAAAAAAAAGAGACAAGTGATCAATAGATTGTATCTAGCCATTTTTAAGGAAGAACTGATATTCAGGATACAGAATTTACCTTTAAGTGCTGTCTTAGTTCTCCAGTTGGATTGGAAGTATATATCTGAACTATATGTTTAGAAAATGCACCACCTAGACAAAGCACAATTTGATTAAGAGAAAAGATAAATATAACGAACTAGGGGTATGATTCATATTCACAAGCAAAGAATGCATATACATACCAAGATAAGTCCATCTGGCCCCCAAACACACTGATTCACTGATATTGCAGCATCATTCAACAAAGCCTCTGGTAGTACAAGATAATTAATGAAGAGACAAGAATCAGACCATATTTATATTCCTAAATTGTTGGCCATGGTTAATGTGAAAGTGTTTGCCAATCAAGCCAGCAAGTATACTAAATCCAATGTTCATAAGTATTAGGTGAATACATCAGTATGAGTTACTACCCACTATTATTAAATTCATTGTCAAGATCAAACTGATAAAGGAAGAAGATTTTATGCATTGTACTCTTAGGAAGTTAAGATGGTGAATACCTGCAACGGCCTTGAAGCAGCCTATATATCCCAAACCTTGAAAGATTTATGTGCTAGCCTTTCCCGGGATCCCACCTCCCGATAGCTAACGTCACCAACCTTTGTCCCCACTACAGACCGAAGAACAGAAATTTCAGTCAATAATAAATAATCTCAGGAAAAAAAATTTATAAATTTTCAGCAACCAGACATTACACAGTGGTTTTTTTTTCTAATTTTTTACCTAGAAGAATAGTTTGCTGATATGGATGGAAGTCCATGCTCATGACATTAGATCTTTGATTTAGGGTTCACACAACGGCTTTTAGTAAGGTCATCTTCAGAATATACATTGGGAGTATGTGCTACACCAGCAAAAGACACCTAGAAAGACCAAAAAGGAACAAGAGAATTGTTACAACCAGCTGATATAAAGGCCATTTAGAAATTTATAGCAGCTATCAAGCTTGAAAAAACAACAGATTATCTCATTCATCCACAAATCATCAGATTGGCTAGTGCGAATACGCTTCATCAAATGCTCTGAATCAGCTGATTGATAATCCATCCTAGTCATACCTGTCAGCGTCCTTGGATGTTTCAAGAATGCAACTGTAGACATCCCGCTACACAGTTACAAACTTTGGGGGGGGTGGGTGACGCCGCCTGTTGCCACAGCAGGGTGAGGTAAGGAAGGACTATTGTTTGACATCCAACTAGTAACAGCACCAGAAGATGGGGAAACAACAGTCTGAAATGGCTGCACAATAAGAATCATTATGAGTATGCACCAATGTTTTATATGGTAGATAGATGCAAAATACTCACACCCTGGGCACCAATAGGTGGAAATGCACCAGCCTTAGGAATTGGTCCTACAAGGGGGTTGTTTGTAAGAGGAGGATAGGCTCTATTAGCTGTAGGGTTGCAAGAATGATCAGTGTAGAGTGTTTTAATATCAGGGTTTGGATGAGGATTCTTGCAAAGTTGATGCTGCCAATTTAAACGGATTTTTTTTTTTTAAAAAAAGAAGTGAGTTCTAGAAAATAAGTCTCATCAAGAAAAGGTAATATCATCTACAAGTGTAAATGATTTCAATCACCTTACAAATATAAGAGCAAAAGCGCAAACCCAAATTAGAAATCAACCAATATATAATATACCAATACACATAAATATTTGTAAAATGCATTCTCTAGGTTTTGTTTTTACCAAAAAACCTCGCTGCAGCACACCTCTGGTTTATTAATGTCCTTCGTTGTGAACTTTTGAAGGCTGGGAATCTAAGCTTGTCACGAAACAGGGGGTTTGATTCAATTAGCTTTTTAAGTTCTACAAGCATAATATTATGATCCGAATTTTGTGTCTCCATACTTGGAAACCTGCTCATTTTGCCTGATCACAAAGTGCCAACAGAAAATCAACTAAAATTTTCTTGGCATACCATACCAATTAGAAAGAATGGTGGAGTAATCACCTAAAGTTATCAAGTGTAAGAAGCTGGGTAATCTCCTTGAAAGTTCTTCATTGAAGGATGCAAAAACCTTAAGGTCCTAGACAAGAATCTCAACAACCTTTGCTCGATCTGATAACATGAATGGAAAAAAAAATGAACATTATTCTGCACATATAGGTTAAAACTCTACATATGAAAACAAAACTACTTCCCTCTTAATGAATGGGAATACCATTAATTTTTAATAATGCCCTGATGATCACTGTGATCAATAGGTTTAGGATATCGGCACAATAAATTAGAAGGATATTACTTTCCTTTTAAATAAACTCTTCAAACCATAGAGCTAATAAATTGCTTTGGGTAAGCAATTCCTAGGGCTACAGAGTAAACAAAATCTTACAAAAGGCTCCATGAACATGCATCGTCTTCATATTAAAATACAAAGAATAAACCAGAATAGGAAAGGTCATTGAAAGATTAGCTTCATCGCTTCATGTGCCCAGAGGAAAAAATTTCAGCACAATACCAGGTTCTGGGAGGTGGTGACATCATCTGAGGCCAAGATTTGGCTTGAAACTGTGTGGCCATGCCACACGGCTGAGGCGAAGATCCGACCAAACCTCGCAGCTCAAGCAAAGATTCAGCCGGACCTTGAGTAGCCAAGCCATTGACCGGTTTGCCACCCCCAAATAAGGCCTTCGTAGCCGGATATTTTAGTTTATTTGTTTAATAAATATTAATAAAATATTTTTAATAATCTTTTATTTTTTCAAAAAATTATGAAAGAGAAATACTGTGTGTTGATGGAAATGGGAATCTTTTCCATAACTATGACCAATCTGTAAGCATAAAGAATAACACATTAATAGTAAAAGCAAAAACTGTAGAGAATACTATTTTAGACCCTAAATTGATCATAATTTATCAATTAAACAAGAAAATAAAGAATTTCCTCAACAACTACTGCAATATAAGCTTCACAAACATGTATAAATTAACTTTAAGGAAACATAAATTGTAATATTATAGCTTTTCTATATATATTTGACAGTCTACAGTTGATTCACTTAAAGAATTTTAATTAAAGACAAAATCAATAATAAAGACTATTGAGGATTTACTAGTATTAATTCAATGAAGAGTATGAAGAAGTCTATCGAAAAAGTATAATTTTAAGTAAATGAATACTTACTATTTTCTAACTGTTGTATGATTGTATTAATGTCACTCTCCGAACAATTTTTATTGTTTAACTCCTTTAACCTTGGCATGCTTAAGTCTCCTCGAAAGAAAGTCTTCATCTTCGAGCATTTACTCACAAATAAACTTTCCAAGAATGGGAATTTTAAGATGTAATCCCCGAAGCAGAAACATGTGAGACAATCTAAATCATCCAAGTACAACCTCTTCAATTTCTCAAAAACAATTTCACCTTTCTCTATATCTCCCTCATTTGCTAATACTTCTATCATCATTTCACATCCTACTATACTCAACTCTTCTAGTCGCAACAGACTTTTGACTGTTGAGGATGACATTAAGTTTTGCATTCCATTGCAATACCTTACTCTCAAAGTCGTTAGATTTTCAAAAGATGCTAAAGATGGCAATAGAGTAGTCAAATTTTGACAATATAGCACCTCCAAACGATCAAGATTTTGAAGAATTGAGTTTAATTGGGAGTCTTGTTTCCAAATGCACTTTAAATTATAAAGTCCTTGTAATTTTAAAACTTTTAATTTTGTGAGTGTTCCAACATGTTTCTTATCCACTTCACATGAAAATATCTCTTCATATGAACTCATTTTCAATATCAGTTCTTCAAGACTATTAAATTTGTAAAGGATTTGAATTGGAATGCTGGTATATTCATCATTAATCAATTGAAGAGTTTTTACTTTCCCAAATCTCTCTTGAAACTCTCCTTCCCAAATCAACACGATGTCCCTTCCACTTAACCGTAATGTCAATTCCTTCATATCAGAGTCAACCTAAAAAAAATCATATCAGTCAAATTACAATTAATATTTCCCTTAAAAACATATATATATATATAAACTAAGCAAGAAAAAAATATTTATTTAACATTTTTTTTCCATAAAATTACCACGTAATTATCCAATTACTTTGATATTGATACTGCATTGCTTTAATATGTTCAGGTAAAGACAAAAGTTAAGATAATTAAATAGAATAAAGAAAAACTAAATAAATCATTATTAATAATAAAAGCACCTTTAGATTTAGACAGAATTGTTTCTCTTATTATAACAATTAATTAAGTACTTACTACGTGTTCCCATTAAAATTTATGGGAAGATTTCATCATTTTCCAGTTCTAGTAATTATGATAATTACATAATTTCCCAATGCCAATGTTAGAGTCCGAATGCAAACCTTATGCTGAAATAAGCCAGTTTTGCATAACACTAGATTAAAGCTTCCAATGCTGGAAGGAAATATGTGAATCTTATTCTAACGCAATATTTGCAAAACAGTACCTATATATAAACACAAACTAACTTTAAAAAACAGTTTATTGTAATTAATGCTATAAACATAATATTATTATAAAATAAATATTTAAACTAATTAATTGAATACATATACCTTTTCTTTGTGTTCTTTTTGAATGGTTGCATTAAGCTCACTCCCGCCACTCTCTAAATCCATCTCGCAGTTGTCATAATAAAATGTGTGTAACTTTGGTGTGCTTAAGATTCCTTGAGAGAAAGTCTTCATATTGGGGCAAAACCGTATAATTAAGTCTTCCAAAGATGGGAAATTGAAAGAGTAATTCCCAGAGCAAAAGCATGTGAGGTTGTTCAAACATGTAAATGACAACTTGTTCAAATTGTTAAAAACAATTTCAGTTGTTGTTGCATCTCCCTTATTTTCTACTATTTCAACCAACATTCCACAATACTCTACGCTCATTTCTCTCAATTGCACCAAGCCTCTAGCCGTTGAAGGTGTTATTAACTTCATCAACCTTTCGCAATGGTCAACTCTTAGAACTTTAAGATTCTGGAAAGAAGCTGAGCATGACATTAGACTCATCAATTCGATACAGTCCTGTAAATTTAGAACTTCAAGAGTTGGAAGATTTGGAAAGAATAGCTCTTTATATTGATCACACCAAAATAGTTTGAGCTCATTCAGATTTTCAAATCTTTGAAGGAATCCAAGTGGAATATTTACTGAGTTATCATATCCGATCTCAAGNAACATATATATATATATAAACTAAGCAAGAAAAAAATATTTATTTAACATTTTTTTTCCATAAAATTACCACGTAATTATCCAATTACTTTGATATTGATACTGCATTGCTTTAATATGTTCAGGTAAAGACAAAAGTTAAGATAATTAAATAGAATAAAGAAAAACTAAATAAATCATTATTAATAATAAAAGCACCTTTAGATTTAGACAGAATTGTTTCTCTTATTATAACAATTAATTAAGTACTTACTACGTGTTCCCATTAAAATTTATGGGAAGATTTCATCATTTTCCAGTTCTAGTAATTATGATAATTACATAATTTCCCAATGCCAATGTTAGAGTCCGAATGCAAACCTTATGCTGAAATAAGCCAGTTTTGCATAACACTAGATTAAAGCTTCCAATGCTGGAAGGAAATATGTGAATCTTATTCTAACGCAATATTTGCAAAACAGTACCTATATATAAACACAAACTAACTTTAAAAAACAGTTTATTGTAATTAATGCTATAAACATAATATTATTATAAAATAAATATTTAAACTAATTAATTGAATACATATACCTTTTCTTTGTGTTCTTTTTGAATGGTTGCATTAAGCTCACTCCCGCCACTCTCTAAATCCATCTCGCAGTTGTCATAATAAAATGTGTGTAACTTTGGTGTGCTTAAGATTCCTTGAGAGAAAGTCTTCATATTGGGGCAAAACCGTATAATTAAGTCTTCCAAAGATGGGAAATTGAAAGAGTAATTCCCAGAGCAAAAGCATGTGAGGTTGTTCAAACATGTAAATGACAACTTGTTCAAATTGTTAAAAACAATTTCAGTTGTTGTTGCATCTCCCTTATTTTCTACTATTTCAACCAACATTCCACAATACTCTACGCTCATTTCTCTCAATTGCACCAAGCCTCTAGCCGTTGAAGGTGTTATTAACTTCATCAACCTTTCGCAATGGTCAACTCTTAGAACTTTAAGATTCTGGAAAGAAGCTGAGCATGACATTAGACTCATCAATTCGATACAGTCCTGTAAATTTAGAACTTCAAGAGTTGGAAGATTTGGAAAGAATAGCTCTTTATATTGATCACACCAAAATAGTTTGAGCTCATTCAGATTTTCAAATCTTTGAAGGAATCCAAGTGGAATATTTACTGAGTTATCATATCCGATCTCAAGAGCTTTAGATTGACTCTGCCATATAATCCATTTCTCACCCCATGACCTACCATTCTTTAATTCAAATACCTCCAAATCGTTGTTGATCTACAGATCCATAAAAAAAAAAAATCTAATTAACTTTTTAATTATATACTTAAAACAAAAGTTTAGTTATTGGCTCAAAAGTCATAGGCCAAACCCAATCAAATTTTGACAAATTAACTACAATATATTTTAAAACTAGTAAATTAATTTTATTAATATTATAAATTTCAAATCAATGTTAAAAATTGCATTAAAAAACTATATTTGAAAACTACATATTAAACATACTTTGTTTTTTGTTTACATTATTTTGGAAATTAGAAAATAGAAACATACTTTCCAAATAAATTTTATTTTTATTTAAACCAATTTAGATTATTCTTCAAAGTTCAAAGGGCTAACCATGAATCAAATTTATGAGCAAATGTTTCATTTATGTAGATTTGCTAACTGCACCCCCTGAAACCAAAAAACTACTCAGCCCCCACTAACTTGGAAACTACATTATACACCTCCTGCTACTGTCCACTAAATTGTTTGAATTTAAGCTACAATCTAGTGGAAACGGCTACAGATGCAGATCGTAGCCACAAATTGTAGACATGATTAATGGCTATGACTTCAACCCCAGAATGCAAACCACGATCTAGTGGTTGTAGACACCACTACAACCATTTTCAATTTTTTTTTCAATTTCTCTTAATTATTTTATTTTATTTTATTTTTAAACATAGTCATAGAAATTCAATTAATATAAATTTCTTAAAGAGTTTTTTCCTAAATTTCTATTATTTGAATTTTCAAATTTAGTATTTAATGGTTACAACTTTAAAAATATAATTTCAGGTTTTATAAATATTTTTTTCTTTATATTTTCTAATTTTGCTTTTTTAATTTTCTATATTTTCAAGTTTTTCTAATTTTATCTTCTATTTTTTAAATTTTTTTATTTAATCTTTCCTTTTGGTATGAAATGTCAACTTTATCCTCTTTAACATTCAAACTGGCCCATCCTAATATAATTTGATTTATTACTCTTGGCCGTTACTAAATCATGTTAGAATGATTTTGAATTTATGATCCCGATTCATAGGCTTTCAAATTGCAAACTTTCTATTAAAAAAAAAAAAATTCAATAATAAAATGAACCACCTGATAGACAAATATCTAGTAAATATAAAAACTTTATTGTTGATTTCTAGAATTATATTGGATGATCTAATTTTTTTTTTTTTTTAAAAAAAAAACCTAGTGCGTAAATGAGTTTAAATAATAAGATCCTAAAGTAAAATTGTTCAAATTAAATAACCATTAATTTTTCTAAATTTTCTTTCCAAGAAAAATAGAGATGTTAAGAATTCCATAATTAAAGTTTTGACTAAATGTCATATAAATGAAGAAAAATAATTTTCTTTTTCAATAAACAATGAAATAAGAGATGCGTACCTTATCGTCCAAAAAGATAGAATTTGGATTTGAAATATTAAGTCCATTCTCCTCATTGTTTTCTTTGAAGCTTAGATATTTTGATGATAATTTGTCACAATTTATCACCAGCAACTCTTTTAACATTGGCCATTCGGAAGTATGTATTTCAGGATAGAAAGCTCTAAGTTTTGGTAGATCTTCAAGCTTAAAAAAGGTTACATGTGGAAAGACAAAATTGACAACTCCATTTGCTCCTTCTTCTTTTGCAACAATCTCCTCTAAAACCTTACAATTATGTATCTTTAGGTATTGGAGTTTGTGGAGGCTTTGGGCAATGGAAGATGGAAATGCAAATTTTATGTTTTCACAACCTGACAAAATCAAGTGTGTCAAATTTTGATAGAAGGAATTTGGATGTTGATTGTAGCAAATCTCTGTAGAACTATCATCTTGGAATGTCAAGAACTTTAAATAAAGGGAGATGTCCTGCAACAAAAGTTAATAGTTGTTTCAATATAAAGTAATTAAACAATAATAATTACCTTTTCTAATGGATTAGAAAAATGTGTCTTTTTGTAACTCTTAATAATTTATAGAAGGCCTAAGCCCAAACTAAACGGATAATAATATAATGTTGCATTAATTCTCTCTCTTGCTTTATAGAGCTATGCCATCCCCTAACCTGCAGCTATTGTCTATTCAACCAGGGTCAATACTTAAAATTGTCTTCTTGTCTTCTTAGTGTTATACACTTATTGTAAACTAACAAAACTTACTTCATCCTACTATTACTTGCAATCTTGTAGCTAAAACATAATATTATTAAAATATATAAAAGTAATGTAAAAATAAGTAAATATTTAAACTAATTATGGAATACATACTTGTTTCTTGTATGCTCCTTGTATGGTTTTATTAAGATCATTCTCCTCATTCTCTACCTCCATTCTCTCCCAGTCTTCTTCCTCTTCCTCCCTAACATCTTCAGTCTCTTTAAAGCTCTCATAATTGACTTTTTGCAACTTTGGTGTACTTAAGATTCCTTGAGAGAAAGTCTTCATATTGGGGCAATACCGTATAATTAAGTCTTCCAAAGATGGAAAATTGAATAAGTAATTCCCAGAGCAAAAGCATGTGAGACTTTCTAAACATGTAAGTGACAACTTATTCAAATTGTTAAAAACAATTTCGGTTGTTGTTGCGTCTCCCTCATTTTCTACTATTTCAATCAACATTTCACAATACTCTACACTCATCTCTCTCAGTTGCACCAAGCCTCTAGCCATTGAAGGTGTTATTAACTTCATCAACCCATTGCAAAAGAAAACTCTTAGAACTTTAAGATTTTGAAAAGAAGCTGAAGATGACACTAGACTTATCAATTTGCTACAACCCTGTACATCTAGAACTTCAAGATTTGGAAGATTTGGAAATGATAGCTCTTTGTATTGATCAGGCAAATATAGTCTAAGCTCATTCAGATTTTCAAATCTTGGAATGAGTCCAAGTGGAATATCTGTTGAGTTATCATATGAGATCTTAAGAGCTTTAGTGTGACTCTGCCATATAACCTCTTTCGCACCATCCTTTAAATTAAATACCTCCAAATCATGGTTGATCTACAAAATCCATCAAAAACAAAATCCAATTAGCTTTATAATTATATATTTAAAACAAAAGTTTAGATATTGGCTCAAAAGTCATAGGCCAAACCCAATCAAATTTTGACAAATCAACTACATTCTATTTTAAAACTAATAAATTATATTTATTAATATTTTAAATTTCAAATCAATATAAAAATAACATTCAAAAACTATTTTTGAAAACTACAAATTAAACATACTTTTTTGTTTTTGTTTACATATTGGAAAATAGAAAATAGAAACATACTTTTCAAATGAATTTAGATTATTCTTCAAAGGGCTACCATGAATCAAATTGGTGAGCAAATGTTTCATTATTTGATTTTACCAAAAAACTACGTAGCCCCCACTAACTTGGAAAACTACAATATACACCTTCTCCTATTGTCAATTAAATTAGGAATTTTATCGTGTTTGATCTATGTAAATACAAAGTTACCTTTAGATTTTCTGCAAACCGACTAATTTATCTTGTGAAAATTTTATGTACAATTAAATTAATATAAATTTCTTAAGAGTTTTTTTTTTTCTAAATTTCTATTATTTGAATTTTGAAATTACATCTTACTATTTATTTTAAATTTCAAATCAATATTAAAATTACATTCAAAAACTATTTTTGAAAACTACTAATTAAACATAACTTTTTTAAAAAATTAATCATTTAATTCCAATACCTTCAAATACAATTTGATCTACAAATCCATTAAAACAAAATCCAGTTAGTTTTTTATTTTCTTAAAAACAAAACTGTTATTATTACCTATTTTGTTAAACTAACTCTTAGTTGGTTCATCCTAACAATAAGTTGGACTTTAGATAAATTTCTTTTTTAATTAAATTTTTTAATGTAATTAAATCGTGTGATTTATAACCTATAACATTATAGGCATATAATATGACAATAGATAATGTCTTAACATAACATAACTCCACAGATAAATATTATAAATTTCTACTTACAAAAAAATTGATATATAATTTATTGACATTTATCCTAATATAATTTGTTTCAAATTAATTTGTCCACTACCAGATTATGTTAATTTGGTTGGGTTTCAAGTGGCAAATGTTTTTTGTATAATGTTTCCAATAATAAGAAGGTTCACTTTTTAGACATATTTCTAGTCAAAATAAAAGGAATATTATCAATTGAGCTATAATGTCTCCTATGGTTTTAAAAAAGGGATAAAATGTTATTAGAGATAGTTAGATTTAACATTTTGTAAGAATGAAAATAGTATTAAAGTTGATGATAAAATACTAAAGTTGGGTTCCATTAATAAATTATTCTACAAGAAATTAATAATTAAAGAAAATTATTTAATATACTGTTGAGATGTAATAATTAACGTAATTTTTCAGTGAAAAAAAAAGTATTTATGACAATAAAATTTGCCACTCAAACACAATATTTCAATATAGCTCTTAAACAAAATTTTAAAATAGTTTTCAAACATCATATTGTAGTTGTATTTCAATATTCAAAATATGATAATACAATGAATTGCATTATAATACTTTAGAAATTAAATTTTAAAACTTGTCTTTTTTCTTATAGTTTCATAAAAGGTTGTCCTCCAATTGATGATAACCCAATATTAAATTTTATTGATGATTTCTAGTAAACATTTGATGATTCTATAATTATTTTTCTAAATTTTTGTTAAAAAAAAAAAAAAAAAAAAAGACGTTAAGAATCACATTATTAAGTCCTAATTTATATAATATATTAAAGTTTTTTTTTTCTTTTCAATAAAGAAGTAAACAAGGGACTCGTACCTCATTGTCCAATATACGAAGTGAATTTTCATGGAAGCTTAGATACTTTGAAGTGAATTTTTCGCATTCCTTCACCACCAACCCTTCTAACATTGGCAATTCCCAAGTATCTATACCATGACAAAAAGCTGTAAGTTTTGGTAAATTTTCAAGCATCAAAAAGGTTATCTGCGGAAAGGCAAAAGTAACAACGGCTTCTACTCCTTCTTCCGCAACAATCTGTTCTAAAACCTCACAATCTCTTATCACAAGGTATTGTAAAGCCTGGAGGCTTTTGACTATGCAAATTGAAAACGCATATTTTATTTTTTTACATCCCTTCAAGGTCAAGTGTGCCAAGGAAGACATGAATGTTGGAGGTTGGCTGTCCCAAATCTTTCTAGAACTAGTAACTTCTAGTGCCAAGGCCGTCAAATCATAGAAGATAACCTGAAGTCAAAGATAACTAATGTTTCAATATTTACAAATATGAAAAATTAAAAAAAAAAAAGTAATAATTGATTATTATGGATTTATCATTGACATTTCTATTAACGATGTGTCTTTTGTCTCTAATGATTTTCATCATGAAATCAAGCATGAATTTATGAAAATCAATTTGATAGAAATTACAAAGTATAATTATTGAATAGAAGTACTTGGAAAAGGAAAGTACTTAGTAATGAAATTTAATTGGAAATTTAAATCACAAGGGAAAAAATAAAAAGCAAAAACAAATGAAAAAATAATTTAATATCACAACTATGTGTTAACAAATGAGAATAACATAAGAAAAAAATAAGAATATATAATAAAGAAGTGCAAGAGGTTAACTTCAATCATACCTTTTTGTTAAAAAGTGGCGTGAGATTGTTATCATCATCTGAAAATTCGACCAACCCTAAGAGTTCAACATTCTTGAGAATTCGTAATTCTTCTAAAGAGATGGTAGAATCATATTTAAATTTCAAAATTCTTGAAAATTTGTAATTGGATTTGGGCCAACCATATGAGTTCCACCATTCATTACCCATTGATATCTTGTACCTTCTAAGCTCTCTGGAAAAGAAGACCTGAGGCAAAACTATGTCATTTTTAATATCTAATTTTAAAGTGGTCAATTGAGTCAAGTGCTTCAACTCCTTGAGTAATTCTACCTTCCACTGAATATTGCATCCTTTTATATACAGTTCTTCTAGTTGCAATAGTTTTGATATCACATTTGGCACAATAACTTTTAATTGCCAACAATTGCTTAAATCCAAAAACTTTAATCCAGTCAACTGATCCATTTCTGTAGGCAAATTCTTAATTCTAGTATTTCGCAAGCTAAGGACTTTTAGCTGCTTAAGCTTTCCAATAATAGCAACATCTTCAATTTCGCTACCATCTAAACACAATGTTTGAAGGTTTGTCAAAAGACCAAGTGACGACGGCAACGACGACTTTTGTATTCTAAATAAATTTAAAAAGGTTGTCAAAAGATCAAATGACGACGGCAACGACGACTTTTGTACTCTAGATAAATTTAAAACTTTTAGCTTTGGCATCACCATAAAAAACTCCTTAGGGATTTCGAAAGAAGAACCCCTCTCACTCATATTAAGAAATTCAAGCTCTGGACAATCTAATGCTTCAGGCCAAAGTTGAGTAATAATTTTATTACCAACTAAAGAGATAATTGTGCATTTTCTAAGTTTATCTTTATCCTTCCATTCACTTTCAATGTCATTTCTTTCTGTAAATACATGGTGATCTGTATATGCACATGTTAAAGCAACAATGCGAACAACGTCATGCATAGAAAATCTTCTTTTGGTTCTACCATCAAGTAACAAGCAAGAGTCCTTGAGTTCCTTGACCACTGAATCTAGTCTATTTCGTGCTTGCTCTATTGTAAGGTTAGCTCCTTCAAGTATACCCAAACGAACGATATTCTTGAGCAAGTTTGAAATGGAAGTGTCGTTTTCCATTAGACTAGAAATTATGAAAGTTTTCTTGAGCTCATCATCTTCTAAATAATCATAACTCAACTTAATCTTTGAATATTCCTTTTCTAAAAGTCTTGTGAACTTTGCTGGGGAAGGCATTCTTAGTATTCGCAAAGCATCTTCCCATTGAGATTTTTGTCTTCTGTTCCTTAATGCCTTTGCTATAGTACAAATGATAATGGGCAAACCTCCACATTCTTTGCATACATCATTTGGTAAAGAATTCAATTCAGGTGTTTGAATAACATTACCTGCACAAGAAGCTATGATTATACTAATTGCATTTTCTATTCACATGCTTTTGGTTTACAAACAAGAAAAGTTCCAAGTGTTGTTATTTTCCCTCCAGCTATCTTATTAGACTCTTTTCTAAACAAAACCATAAAAAATATTTGAAAATCTAAATAAACTGCACTTAACTCCAAATAAAATTCCTTTCCCCTCTTCATCTCTAAAATCATAGAAATACATATGTCTTCTTATCAAGAGCTTTACGAAGTTTTTATAGAAAAGAAAAATAAATCGATGAGAAATGTAAAATGAAGCTGCTAAATCAATTCTCATAACTGTGAATTTAGGCTGAAAATAATTAATTAACGGCATCTAATTCAAATATTAAGAATTAGTTTAAAGCATGCATGTTAATGAATATACTTTAAATTTAAGTCGCAAAGTAATGTTTGGGGGGCATGGGCAATTCTCCCACACCCCCCCCCAAAAAAAAAAAAAAGGCATCCATTCCCTGCCTTGACAAAAAAAAGGGCAATAGCGCCCTCAAGCAGAAGCAAATCCCTCGAGAATATTTAATATTGAAAAAAATAGGTTACGAATTTAAAGAAAAATAATTACAGTTATTAAATACTTTTTAAAAAATCAGAATTATTTAGCTCAGACCCTCGGGAAAAAGAAGTACAGTTTTAGTGATTTTGGTTAGAAGATCAGTTCAAATAAAATTTGACTAGCTTGCAATTAGAAAACATTGCCAACACATTAAAATGAGTTACAACATTAAAACATGGCCCCTAAGTTAGATTGTTTTTGCATATGGAATTAATTTCTTGTTACCAACACTGCTATTCTATCAATCATTGAGTAATTATACTGATTTCGAAAATATTCCTCTTATCACATCAACCATAACACAATTTTATATGTTATCAAATAAAAATGAGTTATAACAATTACCTGCCATTTTCTTGAATAGGCTCCAAGCTCTTCTTCATTTAAAATGCCCATCCCGATATTTTTTGTGGAACCCATCTTCTCCAACATATCTACATTTCTTGTTGTCATCAATATTTTACTTCTTCCACGATCAGCTTCGGAAGGAATTCCACCGACGTCACCTCTAACTCTTTCCAAATATTATCTACAATTAAAAGGATATTCTCTTCTCTATTCTAGAATATAACTTTTTTGCTCTGTCACTCTCATCTTCCTTCTCTTCAAACTCAAGACCTAACTTTTTTGCAATTGCTATTTGAATTTTTTTGTATCCGGAGTTTCTGTTACCTATAAAACAAGAAAAATATGGCCAATCAAGACCACAAAATAAAGAAATACATCACAGAAAAAGAAAAAAAAAATCTTAACAGAACTGTGCTTTTTTTATTTTTCTTCTTAAGGTATTCATCTATTAAAAATAACTAAAAACAATGAAACCTTACAATAAACTGAACTAAGATATATAAAATTCCTTATTTTCATTAAACACAAAAACAATATTGTGTTGAATGCTTTTTTTTCTCCCTTAATTATTAATGGAAACATACATCCTCATATATTTATGATGCGTAAAGTCTAATTAATTCACTCAAATAAAATTAATCATATAATCATTTATACTAATATATCACTCTAAATATATAATTAAGATAAAACAACATCTTAATAAACAAATGAAACATTACCTCTACAAAAACAATCTCCTCAAAGAGCTTATCCTTCTCGGCTTGTCTCCAACTTCCTGCACAAGAGTGGTCTTCCCAACCACCCTCCGTAACACCGATCATGTAGATATTCTCATTCTTCAATGCATCCCATACATTCTTCACTGTGGAGTTTCTGATTCGAAAGCCAATATCTTGGTTAGATCTAAGCCAGATCTCTGGTGGATTAGTTGGATGGGCAACTTCTTTGAATTCCTTTTCTTCCTGCAAGAGTGAACCAATCATCCCGCTTTAATCCAGTGCTTTCCTACTAAGTTTGTAGCGGATGATCAAGTTGGGGCACAATCCCTTGAAACATCGTGGGTTGTTTTCTTTTGCTTGAATCAACTGCTCGCTTCATTAATGGTCTTCTCAACATCCGTCTGCCAGTCCTTAACAGTCTGGTTGATCTCTTCCAAGTTTCTTTCAGCAGCAGTAACCTTAACCTGCACTTCGCCTCTTGTATTCTTCAGCTTCGTACCTTCCTTTTCGAGATTTTTGAAATTGGTATTGTAGTTGTACAAGTATTTAAATGGACGCCCAATCGAAGCAGCCAACAGTTGACAACATCCAGAACAAAACTCGCGATTTCGACCATTTTCACACACTTTTTCCTTTCTCCTTCGCTTTTTTTTTTTTTTTTTTTTTTAACAGTCATAACAGGAGACTAGGGTGCAAACTTTCAAATTTGAAAAAACACAAAAAGGTAAGAAAAATACAGAAATAACAGCAAGACAACAATGATGCAAACTCAAACAAAAGAAGAGGAGTGAGGACAAACACCGAAAATGCTGAAATAATTGTTTTTTTTTTTTTTTTTTTTTGGGTTAAACAGATAAAGGAAAAGGAAAATAGCAAAAAAAACAGAGAAAGTAACGGGACAACTGCAAACTGAAATAAAAAGATCCTTTTGTTCTAATGAAAATAAGAAATGGAAGAGAATTCTTTTTGGTAAACAGAAGGATTGAAAAATAAAAGCGATCTGGTTTTAGAGTAAAAGTATTTTTGTGGTAGCTGAAGGGAGGAGATTGAGAGAGGTTTACGAGTGAAAGTTTTTTTAGTGATTTCTGAAAGATTGAGAGATAGATGAACGCTAAGAAGAAGAAGAGATTACAAAGACCCACCACTTGAACCATCGACAAAAGTAAAAAGTTTGAAGGAGGAAGAAATGAAAAGACGGAAGCACTTGAGTTCGGCCTTGCACGCGGTCCCGCCTAGTCGACCCCCGTGCCTCTGTCTCATTACTGATTACCCCAAAAGCACTTAATTGATTATGAGAAGAGAGAGAGAGAGCTGGGTTTGGACTTTTGCTAAAGCACAGTGGTCCTCACTCGCCCCACTGGGCCCCACTGAACTGTGCACGAGTCAACACAAGAGGCCCTCTACCCCTTGTCAGTTGTCTCTTAACTCTACCAATAACACAACAAGTTCCGCTCTTCCCTTTTACGTGTGGCCCCCGCCACCCAATCTCAATCAAAGGCTTGACTAGTTGACTTTCTAATTTTTTAAATTATTTTATGGAATAATTTAAAATTGATTGATAGAGCTTGCCGTGTGAACAAAATTATATTTTATAAAAGAAAAGTTTGATAAGTTATTAACCTATAATAAACCCTTTTATCTCCGGTACATAAACAATATTTGAAATGCTACAGCTACCGACTGTGTACGATTTTGCACCGAATGACTTGCAAAATCCTACCGTTGATTAATTAACTGATAATAATAAACGTCGATTTGCACTCATTCGGTGCAAAATCGGTACACCAGTCGTAACGTAGCTTACCCAATATTTTGGGAGGAAGTTCTTTGAATCCTAAATCCCGTGTCACTGCTATTTTTTTTTTTTTCGAGAATCCATAAAATTATAGTATATATGTGGATAATGCCCTCATTTGTATTTTGGTGTGGGATTACTCCATGACCATCATCTTGTTGTGAAATGTCATCATAACAACATAGTTTATGCATCTCTATTAAAGATCCTGGGTTTGCTATGTGCCTTATGGTTGATTTCTTTTGTACCTAACATTTTTTTTTTTTACAGACAGAGAATTACGGTTGCATAAACTTCATTTATGTTTTCAATATTTATTATATGTAAGTTTATGTTCTCTTTTTAGTGGTAATAAATTCTATAAACATAACAATTGAATTTACTTAGTAGTTGAAAGAAGGACAGAAGGACAACCGGCTAACTTTGTTAACTTTTAATAGAGCTAAACAGACTGGTGAAACTGTGCATATTCTGAACTTGAAGGAGGCCTGGAGTTGAGTTCTTATATACTTCAACAATATAACCAAAATACTTTGTGTGTGAGAACAATTTGAAAGAAGATTAAATAGAATGATTACAACAACTTTTTATAAAAAAATTTTATAAACTAGTATCGTAATTCACCAAAAGTAGGTCATATATACGTATATACATACTTCAAAGTACACACAAAATACATAATTCACATTTCACAAAGACATTAGAAGGGTAAGAAATATTTTATTTACCTTTCCAAGTTTTACTCTTCTAATTGCTAAAGACAATATAAAAAATATTCCACTAAAAAAATACTGATCTTAAATAAACAAAAATTTGATTGTTTAATAAACGATAGATAAAAATTGGTGAATATCAAAATAGGAAAAATAAAAAAAAACATATAAGAAAAATTAATAAAAATAAATTTATGAATGAAGTCACCGGTCCTAATCATCTATACATGGGTACGTCCATGTTCAAGGAAAATAAAATAAACCTTACTTAAATTTTCAATCAAAAATTCAAAATATATTCAATATTAACTTTATTAAACATATTAATATGTAAATTAAGGTGGAAGGAAGGAGATTATTGTCATTACACTTGATCAATTTAATAGGCCAGCCTAACCACTGACGACAGACTATAATGACAATGTAGGCCTCACTTTATTCGTATTGTCACGTCAACGTAAATGAGAATAATGGTACACACTTTTTAGATGATCAATTTTATCTGATTTTGTTGCCGTTATAAATTCGGTGTGCTATCGTATTTGTTGCATAAATTTGTATAGTATTATATTTTTTTACATAATATAATTCCTAATTTTTATTAATAAAGGTGAGGTAGCGGTGAGACTAGAGGTGTAACAAATAAATTGGGTTAGAGGGGTCTATCCTAATTCAACCCGCATTAAAGAAGGTTCAATCCGATTCGCCTTATAGATAGACTGGATTGAATCCAACTCGCATGCAACCCACCAACCCGGCGGGTTGCTATAGGGCAACTCGCCAACCTGACGGGTTGGCCCAAAAAAATTAAAAAAAATAAAAAATTAATTAACTTTTTCAAGTTTCTCTTTTTTTTTTTTTTTTCTAATTAAAACTATTATGATTGAACTCTTACAAATAATTTTATATAATAATATTAAACTATACTTCTAAATCATAAATTTTAAAATGTATAAAACTTAGTAATATTTGACATATTGTTATTATTATTTTTTATGGTACGTAAAATATAAAAAAATTAAATATTGAAGTCTTATTCTTAAATTTTCATGTCTTGTATAAAATATAATTCATTCTTATGCTAAAGTTTCATCAATTGAATAAATAAATCTAATTTTTCTTATATTACAATTTTATTGTATTAAAATTGAATTAATATTTGAAATGTTAATAAAAAAAATTAATTTAATTGAGTTATTGATATTTGAAAAGTTAACTAAAAGCAATTACATTTATTTATTTATAAATCGTTAATTATTTATTTGAAAAATTAACTAAATAAAAAAAAAATAGGGTTAACCCGGCCCGACCTGCAACCTAACTCGACAGGTTAGGGTTGACGGGTTGGATTGGGCCAACTAGAGTTGGGCATTTGGAATCGGCCCAAAAGCCCAGCTTCAAAAACCAGTCCTAGGAGGCCTGGTCCCAAAACGGGACCAGACCTAAGGAGGAGGGCCCGGGCCCTCCACTGGACCCTCCTCCAAGGCCCGAGCCTGGGCCCAAATTTTTTTGACCTTTTATCATTTTAGTCCTTTATAAAATTACATTAAACCTCATAAAATAAGTATAAATTATAAGGATTAAAATGAAATTTTACAAAATTTATTAAAAAAAAAAAAATTTAACCGTTGGCTGCCAACGGTCAACTGACACCAACGGTTATATTTATATAATTATAATTTTTTTTTTTCATTTTCCCCCCCACAACTACACTATAAATAACCCTAAAACCTTTAATTTTTTTCACACCAATCAATCTCTCATTCTTTCATTCTCTCAATCTCTCTACTCCAAATCTCCAATCAATTTCTCATTCAATTTATATTTATAATTTATTTATATTATTCAAATTTTTTTCTATTTTTCAATATCATCATAATTTCATATTATTATTTAATTTCTTTTCATTTTAATTATTTATTATTTTATCATAAATTTATAATGTCTTCCCCAAATGAGTTTTACGTTCCATCCACCGAAGAAATTGAAGCCTTCAATCCATTTTCACCATTTCCTCCAGAGGATGCAGCTGTAATTCCACAACCACATTCGGCCGGGACGAGGTGTAGCCAAACACATGTGAGCTGCGAGTCAACGGGCACGGACATAGCCCAACCCCCCCGACCGTCAAAGAGGGTCGTGTCCGATGTCTGGCGATACTTCACCAAATCAAAACGGCCAAAGACAAATGGGGAGGGGGAAGAATCGTGTGGGATATGTAATTTATGTGGAACCATTATTGGGGCTGAGAAGGGGACTTCGACGATGCGACGACACGTAGAGAAGAAGCATCCCCAAATAAATGCATCTTCAAGCGGATCAGGTAGACAAATTCAAACTCAACTTAATTTTAATCCACAATCCTCAACTCTCTCAACATGGCAATACAATACACATGTTGCACGAGAGGAAATAGCAAGATATATAGTTGCTACAGACTCTCCCATTTGTTTATCTGAAAATCCTTTTTTTGTTAATATGGTTAAAACTGCATTTTGTCCAGCATATACCCCTGTTAGTAGAACTACAAGTAGAAGAGATATACTAAAACTTTATAACAAAATAAATAATAAACTTAAAAACGAATTTCAAAATTTTAGGAATATATCTATTGCACTTACATCAGACATATGGGCTTGTAGATCAAAAACCGATTTTTTAACTGTTACAGTACATTTCTTAGATCATAATTGGGGTTTACAACAAAAATTGATAGGTTTTAAACCATTATATGAAAAACATAGTGCTGAAACTATTTATTTTACGATTCTTGAAGTTTTGCAAGAATATTTATTAACTGATAGAGTTGTAGCGCTAACGCTTGATAATGCAGCTGCTAACACCGCGGCAATATCTTTATTTGAAAAGAAATTGGATCCGCTTGGTGAAGGCAAATTTTATCACCAGAGATGTGCTTGTCACATCATCAATTTGATAGTTAAAGCAGGTTTAGATGCTATACATTCAAAGATGGAGAGGGTGCGTAGAGCTATCGGATTTATCGTCGGCGGTAGCAATAAAAGATGGCAGGAGTACGTCAAATATTGTAAGCAAGAGGACCCACCGGTTCGACCTTTGAAGTTATGTACAGACATGCCTATCCGTTGGAACTCTACCTACTTGATGTTGGAAAAAGCTTTG